GATTTCCGTGGTTTTTAAATTGACGATAAGACCCCATGTGTCGGAATTACGATACAGGGTTGATAAAATTCCGTAATACGGTAAACTTTAAGGTGAAGTAAAAAAAAAAAAGTAAAGTTTACTTATGGAAGCTGACAGTTTATGGGGCAAGTGATTTAGAGTTCATCTGTTTCTGTGACCTCGGCATTTTACTCTCCCTAACGTGAGTTAAGTCCCCATCAGAGTTGGGTGAACTCACGAACGTCCTACTGACTTGAACTTGGATTCGAACTCCAGACTTTTGGGTATGCAAATACTATCTCGTTCGGTGGGGGAGGGGGTCGGAGCCTGTAGATGTGTTTCAGAGGAGCCCCCCCCCCTCCCCTCCGAAGAGATGCTTGAAAGAAACTCTGCACATATGCAAACAACTGTACAGTGTAGCAACCGTTCAAATCAAAATAGATAGGTTTAGCGTTTGCTGTGAATGGCATTTTAAACGTCATTTTTAATGAACATATTTTAGAATCACGTTTTTAAATGCGCATATTTTAGAATGACATTTTTGAATGCACATACTTTAGCATGAACGTTTTTTTTTCTTTTCGAATTGATGTTTATCTTTTAACAGAAATTTTAATTTTTGAACTCAAAACTTAAATTTTGAGCTCTCGAACTTGATCTTTCAACATTTCCCCTGAACGCTTCATCTTTCAGCTTGAATTAAGGAATCGTTTGCCAACAATTCAGCTCCAAAATTTGGCCAACAATCACAAATTGTCCCCAATCGATTCCCCTTTCTTAACCTCCCCACACTTTCAGGAAATTCGAGATCCACCCCCACACCCCCTACCCCGTCTTTTCGCGAAATAACAGCCCCATGAATATAATTTATTTGTGGTTTATTGCTAATTAGTTCCAATTCACAAACTGCCCGCGGCATTAAATGGCTTCTCGTGTTTTTAACCTCAGTGTTTAATTAAGGATGGTGCAACGTTTTAATGACCGGTTCCCAGGATTGAAGGGTGACCTTTCACCTCTCATTGTGTGGGTTCGATGGGGTGGGGTTCAACGAGTCTCAAAACACAAATATTAACACGTGTTTATAATACCGCTAGACCACTCCGTCCCTTACTACAACCCTAACTCAACCCTAAACCTCAACCATATTGTGTGGTTGGACAAACTTTACCTTTAATGTGTAATATGTGTTTTGTGCGAGCGGTGTTCTCATGGTCTTATATTGTTTCTAGAAAGATGCGCAGCGGAATAAAGCGCAACCAGAAAAATGCGCAACCAGAAAAAAGCGCATCTTTTTTGCGATTTTTTTTGTCACCATCTTATACAAGGAATTAAGTATTTTACAAGATGACTGCGCGGCATGTTCAAAACTACTTAGAGGGAACACAAAGTTGGACGAATATCAGAGTTTCTTTCAGGCATCTCTTCAATGCGGACGGGAGTTCGAAGCACCATTATTGACCACTACCCCCGATCGAATTAGAAAAAAATATATAATTACTACAGAAACAATATACTTTAACCAGTGGCCGACTTAAAAAAAGTTTTAAGTGTCACCCACCCCCCCCCCCCCCTTCTATCTTTATAGCGGAAAAATGTCTTAAAGAAACACTAACAGAGTCGTCGTACCTCGTTTAAATTAGTTTCTGTATAATTATAAATACACATTTTGTGTTGCATAGCTTCAACATTATATTTTAATATAAGGCAAAAAATGGACACACAGTTTAAATTACAAAATAAAAAAATCTAGAAGAGAAAAACAAAAATAATGCAAAAACAAACTCTGTCAGAAAAAAAAAATCAACGAAAAAAAAAAATCAACGAAAAAAAAATCAACGAAAAATAAAATCCCGTTTTGCTTAAAACACCAGCCCCCCCCCCCCCCCCCCCCCCCCAGTTCCAATCCTCTTTGTCACTGGCCACCGCCGCCGCACCCCTCGGATTTCACCACCACCCCTGTCGCGAGGCGAGGTTCAACTCCATTAACCCCAAGCTTTCCCCCGCCGGGGATGGCGAACGTGACGTGGTACCCGAGCCCCCACCTCCCCTGATAACGGTCGGCCCCTCACGGCTATTTTAGGGAACGCGCGATCACTTTATCGCAGTGGCTAAATATAACTCGGGACTACACAAGTAGGGAAGTTGTATTCTCATGGGTTAGTAGGTCTGCTAGAAGCAGTGTTTCTTTCAGACATATTTTACCGTGATGGTTGGGTGGGGGGGGGGGGGGGGGGGGGGGAGGAAGAAGGGGCGCAGCGGAGGATGAATAAAATATAAATTTCAAATATAGAATATATAATTTTTTTTTCACTTGTTCTTGGATGGGGGAGGGGGTTGTTCAGTGCCCCCCCCCCCCCCCACCATCACCTCCAAGAGATGTCAGAAGCTGAGGAGACTTATCTCTGCTCATGTCGGCATCTCAAAGCCACACGTATCGATCTCCCCCCCCCCCCCCCACCCCAACCCCCACACCACCAAGCTTTGTTGCTAACATCTGACGATGATGAAATAACACCCTCGAAACCGGATCAAACTCAACGTTAAAAAAAAAGGATGCGGGGGGGGGGGGGGGATTTTTAATATAGAGATTGTGCTTCGAAAGATGACATGAAACTTCCAAACTAGATTTGGTATCAAATGATTATGCTGAACCGTCTCTACAAGCCAAAGTTGGTGTGGGTTAGTTGTACGTCTTCTTCCTTCACTTAGACATTCGTAGACTGTCACACTGAGGCCCCTTGACCAAAAAAGTAAAACTTTGCTATCATAAAACGTGCTAAGTGTATACTTGAGTGACAAGTTGAGTAAAATTTTAACTATCATTCCTCAGATTAACACAACAGAAGTAAACCGAGTTACGTAATTATACCTTAGAAAAAAAACCTATTTAAATAAAAACATAACTCTCAAACAAATTACTTAGTATGATACGATAACCTCTACACAGTTATAGGGACAACAAAATATACTAACCCGTTATGAACTCCACCCCCCCCCCAACACACACACACACGTACTTTCTTCCTTCTATTCCTTACCCTAACATTCCTCCGCTCCAATACATTTCATAATAAAATGATGATATGCCACGATATTTCCTAAGTCGCATTTTCTTTATTTTTCTATACATTGCCCTTCACCCTACTTTGTTTATACTTACATCAGATTGTGTAGGGGTGGTAAGGGCTTGGAGTTAGTGAAAAAGGGAACAGGGTAGGGAAAGGGTGGAAACTTTAAAAACTTGTTCCCATATTTGAATTTATACCAAAGTCATGGATTAGCCTTAATCTCTTTTTTATTAGCTTTTTAAAAAACGACAAACACAAAGTAGAAAAGGTAAGCTTCGAGCGTTTGAATACAATGTGTTCCGTTTGCTGGTTTACGACTAAACATTTTTTAAAAAATATCATTAACGTGTACATTAAGTCAGTGGCGTAGCGAGGTCGGGTGTCACCCGGTGCGGCACTTAATGGTGTCCCCCCAGAGGCGTAGCGACTCTTCCTGGGGACAAACTTTCAATTTTCGATTTGCACCCTCCCCCCTTTTGAACTTTCGATTTACATCCCCCACCCCCGCAAACTTTTCTCTATATATTTTTACTATTTTTTGCCATGGTGTCACCCCCCTAAATGGTGTCACTCGGTGCGTTCCGCACCCCCCCCCCCTTGCTACGCCTCTGCATTAAGTATATATCAAATCTATTTTACCAGATCATTTTGTTAGTATGATGCACTATGAGCTTAGAATTCAAACATAACATGTATCCTGTATAAATATGTATAAGCAGAAATAAAATCTTAACGGAAACAACACAGCGAACCAGCGGCGTCACTAGGTAGGGTGTTACCCAGTGCGGTAAATGAGCTTGTCACCCCCCCCCTATTTTCGAATACTGTTATTTTAACTGGACGGACATTGTTATGACGGTAAATTGTGGGATTTTTTTTTTTATTTGGTGACACTCTGTCCAGCAGAGTTTCTTTCAGGCATCTCTTCGAACGAAATGGAATTTAAATAGAAAATATATTATACTTTTAAATTTTATGTTATACTTTTTAAGTTTAGTCCGTCCGTGCCCCCGCCCCCACCAAGAAAATATCAAATGCGCCCCCACCCCAAGAAAAAAGTCTGAAAGAAAAAATGCTGTCCACTAAGTATCCAAACCTTTTCCCCACCTCGTAACGGTCACAGGAAAAATGCGCAATGGAAAACTGCGCAATAAAAGATGCGCAAGGGAATTTTTAAAAAATTGAATAGAGCATTCATGGACATTAGCGACGATCTACAGCATGTACAGTTTAGAATAATTAAACATTTTTCCGCGGTTTAAGACAAAAATAATGTGAATTTGTTTAATGAGTTTGTATTTGCGCATTTTTCTGTTGTGTTTTTTTTTTTTTTTTTTTTTTTTTTTTGCGCATTATTCTGTTGGCGCTTTTTTTGTTTGTTTGCGCATTTTTCCGTTAGCTTATTTTCTGGCAACCCTTCGTAGCGCCACTATCACAAACCCCCATATTGGTCGATAGAGAAGACATACAATAATAGCTGAATGTATTTAAGTACTTTCAAATGAACGTCTGTTTCATTTGAAATAGTCCATTTATCAATGTATCAATCCATACTTGAATTCGTTCATCTAATCATTTTACATGCTTTTACCGCCAGCTTAATGAGCCTTAATTATGCTAATGAGAATCCTATGCATATTGTATGTAAAAACCCCACAGTCCACGTACGAATAAATAAATCCCTTGCGGCTAGTTTCAAGGTCGAGGCCGCTGACCACACCATTTAGAACCGACACGCCAAAATCGTTTCACACACCGCCCTCCCTGGCCACCGCGGCAACCCGGCAAGTGGCGGTAGCGTAGCTTGGCTAGGCGAGACGTTGTGTGTGGGTCGTCGTCTGCTGGTTTGTTTTGGAAGGATTTTTCGTTTTTCATATTCTAGCAGGATATCGTCTGGTACGAAGGGGGAGATTTGTGATGCGAGGCGGAATAGATTAGTGACTGTAGTTATAGATTTGGTGTGAATAGATTAGCGGATGCTGTGTGTGGGTGTTGTGTAGGCAATAGATTTGTGATTCTGTGTAGGCATTGATCTCCGTGTAGTGTGGCACTTTAATAAGCTGTGATTTGGCCGTTTCATTTTAAATCTTTATTTGACATCGACAATGAATTGTTTTAAAATAAAATTACAAAATAACTTACATATTTTTTTTAAAGATCTAGATCTAGATTTTACTTATTTATACTTAGGCCTAGATCTAATATTATTTTAATATAGCCTATTTATATAGATTCTTCTAGTTTCTATAACTATCTGTAGTATAGTATTGACATAGATTTCTCTTAGGGCCTAGAGAATCTAGATTGAAATAATTACTTTAATAATTACATCACTCGCATACTCGCATAAAATTATTCATTAAAAAAAATTGGCTTACCCTTTCAACTTTGTTAAATAATTAGATTAGGCCAAATTAAAATTTGTGGGAAAACTTTGAAATGTACAAAAGTGAAATCTATTTCTCCAAATTATAGTTAACGTTTTAAGTAGTGAATTCTATTTCTAGTAATTATTGATTTAAATTACTAAAGGTAGGCATATGCCTAAAGTGAAATAATGCCTTGATTTATTGTAGATTACGTTTAATAAGGCCTTAAAGATCTACAAGTAGATATTTTTTCCCCCGTTTTAGTTTTATTTTAATAGCTACCCTTTACACATGTGGCTTAAAATTAATCACGAATAATTTCCACTTATCTTTAACTTTAATAATAAATAAATGGATCTATAATTTATTAAAATACATTTGCAACATAGAGGTTTAGCACTTTCATCTCCCTCTATTCTATATGTCTACAGTCTAGCTTCTAGTTCTATTCTAGTCTAATGTAGCCTAATTATTACTAATTAATAAAATAAATGCTAGATTAAATCTAGCCTACTCGTAGCCTAGCATAAAATGACAACAAAATCGGAGGTAAAAAAAAAATCTCAGCGATTTTTTGTGTATTCACCGGTGTTGTAAAACAGTTGTTTTGAAATCTTCCATTCCTATGTTGTCAGATGTAGCTGATCCTGTGTGAACTATTGTGGCGTTCTCGTGAACTTTGTGACAGCTTGTTGAGGAAGCGATCGGTGATTTCTGACATTCGATTCGGAGTTTTTTTTAAAAAGGATTTATTTTGGAACGGATATCTTTTCAAAGCTGGGAGTTATTGAAACAATTCAGGAGTTGTGGTAGCTTGGAATAAGTGAATGTTTTGTATTAACTAGAGTGCCCGTCGTTACATTACAATTCATTTCATGGACTAGTAACTAGATCTAGTAGTGCAAAAGACAATATTACATCTAGATTAGGTCTAGAATCTAGACTAAGTTTGGAACTTATTCAACACAACCAAATTAACAGCGGAGGGAAAAAATTACTGCCGATAAGGGTAAGGAAGTTTATTATTATAATAAATCTAACTGTTTTAGATTAGGATAAGGGCTTAAGTTAAGGCTTAAGTAAATCTGCAAAGCCAGGTTTGCGTGGATTCGATCAGGGTTTGGCCCGGTTAAGGTTAGGCCTGGTTAGGGTTTTCATATTGCTAAGCGATTCAGATGGGTATTTACTTACATTATTTACCAATTGTAACTTCTATTCTGTAAAAAAAAATTTTTTACTGTTGTGAAATAAGTGCTAGATCTAGTTCGATAATAATTTTTAAAACTAACATTGTAAAAACATTAATTACAAAATGATCCCACAACAACCCAAGCGAGATCTAGAAATCTATATAAAATAAATGATCTAGATTCTAGATCTAGAATCTAGTTGATTTAGGGACAACGGCTAGCCGTTTATTTCGGCCATTCTGTAATCATCAAATAGCCTAGTCATCGACTATTATTTTTTTTTATTCGCTTGTTCGAACCAAACGCACGTGTCCCCATTAAAAAGAATCAACACTACCATAATTAATTAATAATTTTTAGCATAAGCGTAAGATACAACCCCCATGTTTTCATGTAAAATGACATCCCTTTAAAAAGTATAAATATTATAAACATGCTATAAACATACTATAAAAATCAAATGAAAATTGAAAGCCACACACAGATTGTATTTAGGGGTAGTTCGATGACAATTGGCGAAAAATGTGTCACGCTTTCGCGTGGTGTAATGACTAATTATAATAATTAACTCGGGTTACTTAGTTCGGCTGCGACAAATCTGAATGTATTATTATGTTGTGTGTTCATTGCTTGCATTGCTGTTATTTGGGTATCAGCACCAGAATGTGGTTGTGGCAGTGGTCTCAGATTTTATAAAATAACTGCGATAAGAATCTGTTGGTGATCATTTCAAAAAGAATATTTAATGAGGTGCTGTTTGCCCGGGGGGGGGGCTTATTAATAACCACCTCCGCCCCCACCCCCCCCCCCCCCCACCCTGTTAACTTTGGGGGAAAAAACACGCCTCCCCTCCGTCAACTTTGAACAAACATTTACCAACAGACCGTGGAAAGTAACACGCAGACAGACACGCACGCATTCAATTTACACAGACGCACGCACACAATTCACACCGGCATACGCACACGTCTCACGTAGTCACGACCCCCCCCCCCCCCCCCCCGCGTCGAAAATATTTTTTTAATCAAAATTTACCATCAAAGACAAATAAAAACCTTAAGAAAAAAAATAATAGCCGGAACAAAATAATTATACTAATCGTAGCGAAAAATCAATTCTCTTTCCATCGTACGTTATAAAATATTCATAGCCCTACAGAAAAGACTGTCTATATGCTAATTGACGGGAATATCATAAGGTACTTAAGCAGGTCCATAACTATGATAAGTCTAGAGCAGTGGTTCCCAACCTTTTTCGAGTGGCGACCCCCTTTTATACAAATTAAGTGACCCGCGACCCCCATAGAATAAAAAAGCCGAAATTAGTATGGAAATTAATAAGCACTAAAATAACATTTTCTAGTAAACTTTCAATATGAACTACTCTTGATAACTGTTTTAATACCATGAGTAAAAGTGCATACTATTCACTAAACATTCGCGGTTAATTTTTTTAAAGTATTTTTTAACGCCAACATATGTCATTATCATTATCTTAATTTTGTTTTTAATCGAAAAATAGTGTTGAAAATCTATTCTCGTAAAGTCAATCAATTTTACGTTTGGGTATGAATGGTGAATACTACACCAAAATTGAATGTGCAGTTTTTTATCTTACGCGGAATCATTCTACAAATCAAAGAATTCATCTTGTAATTCATCGGGAATGCTGGCAACATCGAGGGAAGAAGAGAATGGATAACGCGTCAATGCAGATTCTTGTTTTTTTTTCAGCTCAGAGAAATAGCGCTGCAGTTCGTTTTCACTTGATTCAAGATGCCCAGAAATTTCTTCTTTCAAAATTTTAATGATCTCACAATTAGATTCATCTACCACACTGCAGAGTTTCTAAAATTTACAATATTTCCAAGATTTATTTTCTTCACCGATTTTGCAGCTTTGATAAAAATGCCCCGAGATAATCATGGAAAGTGATAATATTCGTTCATTTTCCCTGAAGCTTCAGGTTAAGATTATCTTGATGTTCGAACACATCTGCTAGGTATGATACTCTCTCCAACCACTCTATGTCGTTTTAAGTATACCAAAATGTCTTGTTTCCTTTGCATTTCCAAGAACAATTTTGATTTCAGATTTCAATTCAAAAATACGATTCACAACAATTCGTTTGACAGCCAGCGCACTGTAGTGTAGAAGAGCAGAACCTCGTGATCTATATTCAGGTCTTTGCTCAGTTCTTTGAAGGCTCCAGATTTTATATAATTTACCACTTATACTAGCAATGCAGTCTTGATGGCGATTGGTGAGGGCAGTGGTTAGGGAGCTAAATCTTTTCTGCTTTCTGAAAGCCCGATTTTGACCTAAACATAGATGGTGCACCATCCTTACAAACCCTCACAGCCGTTTTAACCCATTTTAATCATCCAATTAAAAAAAAACGTATTTATTTTCTCCATGCTATCTTCACAAAAGAGCAACTCTTTGCTATCATCTGAATGAATCTAGACAAAGACCAGCAACTGCGAACACGAACTCACGTCTGTTGATTTATCAACTTGAAAAGCAAACAATGGTGAAAGCTTAATTTCAATAAAAATGTGTTATTTAACATCTACGGACATGTAAGAATTAACTTCACCATCTTCAACATGCAGCGTTTGATGAGATTTTCTCCTATTGTGTTTTTTTTTTGCTTGGCATTTTCTATCACGACTTCATTTGATGCTTGCACTAATGCTGTGTTTCCTTGGTGAAAACTTCCTGTTCGATCAAGTCTCTGACGTTTGCAACTAGCTTCATACCGACGAAAGACCTTCATATCTTTTTTGATGTGTTTCGAATGACTCGTCTCAAATGACGTTTTAGTTTTGAAGATTTCATAAACTCGTGACTGAGAACAACTTTGTACAGTACGCTTTGCTTCTTCTCTATTCCCTTTCCAGTGATGTTAGTCAAGCCGAATTTTAAAAAAAATTCTTCTAAATATTTATGTTTTGTTTCAAATTACTAAGGATTAGTATACCAGTTGGCGACCCCCCAGAAAGCCCTTCGCGACCCCCAGGGGGGTCGCGACCCCCAGGTTGGGAACCCGTGGTCTAGAGTTATGTGCCCCTTCCTTTCTTTTTTACCCCTACTGGCTTGGTACTAATGGTAGTCACTAGACTTGATGTGACTTATAAGGAGGGGTGTTGTTGATTCTTTCTTTTTTTTTCTTTTTTTTTCTTTTTTTTTTGTCGCTGCTTGTATTTGAATGTCTTGTCTATTGACTTAGCCGCGAGATTTTATATTTTCTTTAATTTGTCGACAAGTGTATGTTGTGCTGAATTTGCTTTTTAACTGGGGGAGGGGGAGATTAGAAAATGCTTTTAGATTAGACCAGGGGTCTCCAAACTTTTCAGACCGAGGGCCGCATTGACTATCAAATATAAGTTCGGGGGCCAGAGTTTCTTCAAGGCATATCTTCGGTGTTATGGAGTCGTCCCCCCCTCCCCGAAAAATGTCTACCACCCCGCCCCCCCCCCCCCCAACAATATATAATTTATATAGATATATATACAAATTTCAAGTGCCCCCCCCCCCCCCCCCAGAGAAAAAAATTGAAAGAAACACTGTCGGGGGCCGACAACACACTCGAGGTCCAAGTTTGCTATCAAATTATTCTTCACGTATTATATATCTACGGTTGAGCCCATGTGACCTTATTAAATTCGCCATCTTCACCACAGGATTCAGTACACTGTTAATGTCCATATATTTAGCACTCAAAGCTTGCATATGAGTAATAGAGTGCAGGAGCATTGGTTTCTTTAACTCATTGAATATATTCTCTCTGGTAACAGTGCCATACATATTATGTAGGGATGCCAGCTCTTGTGTTATGTTCACGTCTTCATCCACACCACTAATGAACACTAGTAGTTAAGAGGTGGAACAGCTGTCCAGCGACTCACCCATTGCAATTAAAAAATAGTGAAATGTGCTTGCATTTTTCGCTATTTGAGTCACGATGTTTTCACCAATGTCTGCAACACGGTGGGCAAAGGTATTTGCAGCCAAAGCTACATTTTCATATTGTTTTAAATTCTCTGGGCAAAGTTCCTCAGCCACCTCTAACAGACATTTTTTCGGTGGACAAAAAGATCTCCGCGGGCCTGATGAGAGGACCTTGCGGGCCGCATCCGGCCCGCGGGCCGTAGTTTGGAGACCCCTGGATTAGACGTACCACTGTAATAGAATCGCACGAATCTCCAACGTTACTTGTATACGACTGATGTTAGATTGCAAGTCATTTCGATAATTATAAATGATTATGAGGTGGGGGTAGAATTAATAATTATACCTGAAATTGTATTCTGTAGTTCTTGCTAATACATTAACTTTCAAACTTTATTTAATAACGGAAATAAAAGGAAGCCCTAGGCCTTTTTTCCTTTTATATTAGGCGTTTTCTTTTTAATATGCGAGTATCAGTAATCGTAGTTACAAGGGTTAAATAAAGGATACCGCTGCATTTATTAAGTTTTCGTGAAATTAAAAAAAAAGTCTATTTGATTTTGATTAAAAATAGTTGACGTCATATTTAGGCGGTGTGACGATTTGGTACCTTTGACGACGTTTGATGATAGAATGGGGGGGGGGGGGGGGAATTTATATTAGGCTTCCAATGTGTGACGTCATTTAAAGGACGACCTCTAACGTTTCATGCTTGGCCCATGTTCCCGTCTTTGCAGCTTTGTTTATATTTAATTTTAATTACCGTAATTTTAATAAATTTATTTTTAGTACAGCCTGCAAGATATGTTGTACACTAGCCACATGCTATACAGACAACGTAGTGATGGACAGACAACGTAGTGATG